TGCTTATGTGGTGCTGAGGAATCGAACCCAGGGCCTCATGCATGCAAGGCAAGCAGTCTACCACTGAGCCACCTCCCCAGCCCAGAACAGGGATATTCTTTCGCTGATGTGTTCATTCACAATTCATATTCAGATTTTTTTTTTTAGTTTTTTGTACTCTCAAAGTTAAACTTCTGAATAGTGTTTAAAGCTAGAACCTTCACCTATATGGTTGGTTGTTATGTTGTTGTCTAAACATTGTTGCAACCTCCATTCCTCAAATGTTGGTGCCTGTCCAATAGACAGTGAACAATACTATTGCTACTTGCAACTGTAGGACTCAGGCCAATCTTAGAGATTGTCAAATATGAGTAAAAAAATGTGCCTTGGGATAGTGAAATAAAGGTATAGGTAGCACCTAAAGGTACAAAAAAAAACTTGGATGAATTGTTTGTGCTTTTCTTTATAAACCAAACACATGGCTTTTATCCATGTACTAGTTTGTTGCTTTTATCTTTTATTCAGTTTATTAATACTAGATATTAAGAATTCGATTTTTCAAAGCATGCTTTAAGTTTTATTGTTGAGAAAATGTAATATTTTTTTATCTCAGGTTGGCTTGAAACTCAGAATAGTTTTTTCTTTTTTGCTAGTCCTCAGGGTATAGGCACTGTTCTTGAGCTGCATTTGCTAGCACTCTACCTTTGAGTCACAGCACCACTTCAGGCTTTTTCTGTGTATGTGGTACTGAGGAATCGAACCCAGGGCTTCATGCATGCTAGGCAAGCACTCTACCACTAAGCCATATTCCCAGCCTTCAGAATTCTTCTAACAAACTGTCCTTGGTGCTGGTTTTAAAGGTGTGTGCTACCATGCCCAGCTTTTTTAAAATTTCTATATGGCCAGAATAATTATCAAAATTCCTTAAGCCAGATATTATAGCCTAGTAGTACATATTAAAAATGTGATGAGCCAGGTTCTGAAGGCTCAGACCTATCATTCTAGCTATTTGGGAGGCTTAGAACCAGAGGTTCAAAGCCTGGCCAGTCAGTAAAGGCCATGAGACTCCCATCTCCAGATAACCAGCAGAATTCCAGATTAGAGGCCCAAGTAATAGAGTGCCAGCCAAGCAGATGTGTAGTCCTGAGTTTAAACCATGTACTAGGAAAGAAAAGAATGGGGGTCAGAATGAAGTTTTGTTCTTACGTGGAGTTATCTTTTAAGTTTCCTGTTTGCAAATGTTTAACCCTTAAACTAATTTTATGACTCCCCCTCAGTGGATTTTGGCCTGTTTAGAAACCGTAGTGAACAGGGCTGGGAAGGTGGCTCAGTGGTAGAGCACTTGCCTTGCATGCATGAGGCCCTGGGTTTGATTCCTCAGCACCACATAAGCAAAAAGAAAAAAGCGGGAGTGGCGCTGTGGCTCAAGTGGTAGAGCACTAGCCTTGAGCTGAAGAGCTAAGGGACAGTGCCCAGGCCCAGAGTTCAGGCCCCATGACCGGATCCAAAAAATAAAACAAAACAGTAGTGAACAGTTTCTAAATTGGAGAGAACTGGTCTGCCATATCCCTGGCTAGGTGCTCTTCATCAGGTAACTTGTGTTTAGCAGTTCTAAATTTTTTTGTGACAGGAATATCACCTGGCTTTACATTAAACAGCTGCTTTGTTTGCTACTCACAGGTGTCAGCAGCTCTGAGTGTATATATGATCTTGTGAAATAGAAGGAAAATGTCTACTGAATTTGAGACTCTTGACAGTCTCTTCATGTGTATATACTCTGTTACTTGGATAACCCAAAGCCTTCTTATAAGTAGTTTCCTTTTATCAGCAGCATTTGGGGATTGATTTTGCTAATCTTAAGTCAGTTAACAGGTACATGAAATCTGAGAATCAACTTATATTTACTGTTACAGAATAATTTTAATTTAGAATGTTTTCTTTCCCTTTTAGTTTTATAAGCAAAATTAAATATAAATTTTATCAACAGTGGTAAAAGGGGAAAGAACTATAATCTTCGACTCATCTATGACATTTTAGTAGTCTTTCAAACTTCCTATTGTGCTAGCACTATCCAGCTGTACATATTTGTACATAGCTATTATCTGTCTTTATCACCTACAGTAATTGTAAATTTGATTCATGATGTTTCTGATTGTGGTATATGGAAACTACACTGAAGTTTGGCAACCTCTGGACTTGAATCTCAGTCTTTGGTGTGGTGGTAACTGCCAGCTTGCAGTCTGTTAGGGGTGTAGCTTGACCAGTTCCCTCAATAAACTATTTCCTCCAGTGCTTTTCAAGTCATGGGACCTTTAGAATTTGTCTGAAGTTCAAAAGTAGCACTAAATAACTTGTTCTGATCCACAGCTACCAAGTGACTCAAACAACAGGACGCCTCAGGTGAAAGTTGTAGAGGTCAAGCCTGATATATTCCCTCCATATAAGTACAGCTGCACGGTCACACTGGTAAGTGTGTAGCTGTGGTGGTAGCTGACAAAGAAAATTTGAACCTGTGGTGGGGGAGAGGGCAGTGCTAGTAAGGCAAGGGTCAGATAGAAGTGTTGAAGATATATCATCTATAAATGATAGCTGCTAAGCGAGTCTGTTATGTGAAAAGCAGATTTTGAGGAGGAGTTTCCAGATGGCTGTAAAGCAGAGACTAACTAAAATGGATATTTTTATTGCAGTAGTCAGAGATAAGAATCTTGTCTGACACTGGTATTTGGAACTTTTAAAAATTAGAAAGTACAGGGTACAGATAAGTTTAAGTGATACTGCACTTATTTTCCTCCCTAAAATATAAGCATATTCGAAAGAATTCTCTTGAAGTGGTTAAAAAGTATTTTTTTTTTGGGGGGTGGTCTGGTCGTGGGGCCTCCTGAACTCTGGGCCTGGGCACTGTCCCTCAGCTCTTCTGCTCAAGGCTAGCGCTCTACCACTTGAGCCACAGCGCCACTTCCGGCTTTTGGTTAAAAAGTATTCTAAGGAAGTAACTCATTTTGTTTAGCTCGGCATTTCCCACAAGTTTTTCCTCTCCCTTTCCTTTCTTTTTTTTTTTTTTTTTTTCCTGATTCTAGAGCTTGAACTCCAGATTTGAGCACTGTCCCTGAGCTTTTCTGCTCTACCATTTAAGCCACAGCTTTTGGCTTTTGGGTTGTTTGTTGAAGATAAGACCCTCATGGACTTTCCTGCCCAGCTTCCCCTTTCATTTTTAACATGACCCATACCAGCATTCCATAAATTAACTGTGACTCCTGGGTCATCCTTTTGCAAGGTAATCAGCATGGAGCAGCAGAATAAATATTAGTCCAAAAATAGTTTCAGCTCTGTTGCTAGCATGCCTTATGACCCTGGATAAGACACTATCTTTCTCTGATCTGGTTTCACCATCTACAAAATTCTGTATTGGTTTAGGTACTTTTGAGGTTTCTGTCACTTAACATTCTTTAGTTCTGTTGAACCTTAGGTAATGGCCAGATGGCAGATTCTCTGGCTGATTCAAGTTGGATGGACAGATTTGGAAAGAACAGCTAGATTTTTAAACCTTACTTGATAATGGCAGACAGGTTTAGAAAGAATCTTTAATTCAAAAAATGTTTATTAGCTAAGTGTGATGATACATAGCTGTACTCAGCTATACAAAAGACTGTCAGTCATCTTGAACCCAGGAGTTCAAGGCCAGCATGAGGCTTGGACTTTTTTTCTTCAGAAAAAAGGAGGGTGGTTCTTCAGCACCTGTTTGTGTGCCTTGTTATGGGAGTCTAGAAATTCAGGAAGTAGTAGTCAGGAATTGTTGAGCAATGATGTTACTTTTTTAGGATTTGGGCCTGGCTACATCAAGAGGCCGAGGAAAGTGCAAGAATCCCTCTTGTAGCTATGTCTACACCAACCGGCACAAACCTCGGATTTGTCCCAGCTGTGGTTTTAACCTTGCCAAAGACAGGACTGAGAAAAGCACCAAGGCTCTTGTGAGTTCCTTCTCCTAAAATATTCCCCAGCCTTGTTTGTGAACCTGTTTTAGAAAAAATTTTAAAAAAGGATGTTTTAAATATATGACTGGTAGTTAGAACATCAAGACTAGAACTGAATTCTAGTTTCTAAACCTCCCTAGAGCTTGTCCTTACTGCCAGGGTGAGGGATTGATGGGTGTCTTAGCCCATTTTCTGTTGCTATAACAGGATATCTGAGGCTGGATACTTTATACAGTATGGAGGTTTATTATGTAGTTCACAGTTCTGCAGATTTAAATATCATGTACTGTTTTCTGCTCTGTATACGGTGACTCCTTCTTACTGTGTTATAACTTGGAGTAAGATATCACATGACAAGACAGAGCATGGAGCCAGAGAGCTTCTAAAACAAAGGAACTCCTGTTACAGTTCTTTAATAATCAATTCATGAAGACAGAACTTTTGAGACCCATCAACTCCCCAAAGTCCACCCTCTCTAATTGCTTTAACATGTGACTTTGGGGATTTACTTTCAACACATAAAATTTGTGGGGCACTTTCAAAGCCTAGTAGACATGTACTTTTATCTGTGAGAACCAAAAGTTCATTTATTGAAGAGATTGGCAGCCCAAGCCATAAAAAGAATGAATAAAAGATTATATACTCTTATCTCAGAGGCCTGACACAAGACCTATAAGTTGGTTTATTCCTTCCATAAAAAGAATGCCACCTCCAAGATTTTATAGATCAGATCCTTCCTTCTCACCAGCTTCCTTGCCAAGCTCTTTGCTAATGACAAAACTTCTAGCACTCTTTTTCTCTTCTTTCTTTTTTTGTTTGGTCATGGGGCTTGAACTCTGGGCCCGGGCACTGCCCCTCAGCTCTTCAGCTCAAGGTGAGTGCTCTACCACTTGAGCCACAGTGCTACTTCTGGTTTTCTGGTGGTTTATTGGAGAAAAGAGTCTCATAGACTTTCTTGCTTGGGCTAGCTTTGAATTGTGATCCTCAGATCTCAGCCTCCTGCATAACTGGGATTACAGGAGTGAGCTACCTGCACCCGGCTACACTTCTAGCACTCTTGGCAAATCTACTCTTTGAAGATGGACTGAGCTACTTGGATAGTAATACATACTTTATTTGACCCCTTGAGACTCTTTTTTTTTTTAACCAAGAAAAACAGACATTTTCAGATTCCTTAGTTTCATTTCCCATATGTGATTGAGGAAGGGTTTATTTGTGGCCCTGGAGATCAAAACCAGGATTTGATACATGCTAGCCTAACACTTTCACTGAGCTACATACCCAGTCCCATTCGTAAGTTTGTCAAAGAGTAAAAGTGACAGCATTTGAAGCGAATGGAATGACTATAGTGAGGATAAAAAGACAGCTGCCACTAATTTGTCTCTGGGGAGGTGTCTCATAAAGCAGGCCTGGCCACTCTGGACCTTTAAAGAGAATAGAAAGGAGTGGCATAGAAAGTGAAGAGTGTTCTCTTTGGCTAGGAAGATATGTAAAGGAATTGGGCTGAGCGAGTAAGGAATAGATGTCCTGGAAAGCATGTTTAGAAACACATTGTAGGAGGGCTGGATTGGGCATTTGTTCTTTAGGATCCCACTAAATGTCCAGGACCTACGAAATACCTAAAGGAAGGTTATTTCAGGAAGGAGACTTACAAGTATTAAGGAGTAGATAAAACTAGAGATCTGGAGATGTGTTTCAAACCTCAGATTTTCATACGGATAGGGGGCTTTCTGGTGATGACTTCCTGGTCCCCAATCTGTTGATGTGCTTAAGTGGGCATTTTCTAGTCATCACTCTTGTGAGAAAGGGAAATGGAACTAAAATGTAGGGGTAAACTTGGCTAAGAGAGTTAGAATTGTCCCTCCTATTCATAAAACAAAGCAGACAAGCTGAATTAGATCTGGGCATTTTACTCTGGGAACCAGAAGCCCTAGAATTGAGCTTCAGGGAGTCTGCAAACCCCTGACCTTCATTATATTCTCTTGCTCACTGCTGCCTTATGCCCAAAGTGAGCTTTCTTACTGGATGCTCCATGCATTCTTTGTGCTTTTCTTCCCAAAGCAGTGATCATGTTATACTGACTGCGTCTCTTAACTCCCTAGGAAACCATAATCTCTTCTAGGCAGGAATATCTCTTTCCCTCATACCTTCTAACTCTGGAGTTCACTTATACTGAGTGGATCTGTAATGAAAGGATGGAATTGAGTTCTGTGTAGGTAGGTGCTCTGAGCATTCCATTCCCTTTCTGGTTCACCCTGACTTGGTGTGGTTTGTAGTATAGAATGGATGTTGCTTTCTAGATGTAGGATGAATGAAGTGATTTTACTTTTTAGGTCAAGAAAGAATTGTTTAAGGACCTCTTGCCAGTTGATTTTAAGTCCTACTATATATCTCTCTTTTATTAACCAATAGCTAGCTACCCATTGTCAGTATCACACCTTCTCATTTGCCCTTATCATCAGACCTCCCCCTCCCCAACCTCATAAAGTTTGGAGAAATAATTGTTGTTCTACAAACAATAAAACTGGTCAGAAAATGAGGACCTTTGTGTGTAATACTTTTTGAGTCCCCCCAGTAGCAATACATTCCTTGTGCAATTTTTCTTTAGTTGTTATAATTAAGTTGACAAATGTCTCTCTACCCTTCATCCCTGATAAAGGAGCCAAATGATAGTATTGCCACGTGATCTTCCAGCTTAGGGCTCAGAGAGGTCATACCTGGGAGCACATAACCTCCAAGAAGTAGATTCTATGTTTAGTTGCCTCTTGTGAAGCCAATAATTCTTTAATTCTTTCAGCTAGCATATATTGAATGTCTGCTATGGGCCAGGCCTTCAGAGATGAATAGGACATGACCTCTTCCCATGGGGAGCTTACAGTCTAGTGGAAGAGACAAGTAACCAGTTACTACACACAGATAAGAATTACAATAAAGAAATCATTATAGAGAGGCAATTAGCCTCTACCAAGCAATGTGTGACATATTGGTAAATATGAGTCAACATCTTTTTGAGTCCCAGCCTTATGCTAGTTCAGGAAATAAAAAAGTAATCAAGAGCCAGGCGCTGGTGGCTCATGCCTGTAATCCTAGCTACTCAGGAGGCTGAGATCTGAGGATCACGGTTCAAAGCCAGCCCGGGCAGGAGAGACCGTGAGACT